TGCTTTGCAGGAATTCTCTTATTTGCTACTGGTCGGACACTGAATACCACCAGCATTTTGTAATATCCATGTCCCATTTTTCAATGACCCCCACATTTATATAACTAAAAATACACTATTAAAGTAAATCCAGTGTGACTTGCTGAAGAATAATCTCTGAAGTGGTTTAGCTGAGTTAGATGTATAAATTCAGATTGGGAAAGATTAATTAAATATAACGGGTGTAGCGTACTGTTCCCCATGATAAAAAAAAGTTTTAAATATATCCTTTCAACTCAAGCCTATATATGTTACTAGAAAATGTACCTGGTGTTGCTCAGGTACTTATCTCTATTAATTTTGGGGTTTTGAAAAATAAAATGAAAATGTACATGCTTCATTTAAATCATTGCTGGAGGGCTGGGAATGAGGGGTTCAGTATGCAGGCTTCCCTGGGGTGAGAGGACAACCCCATCCCTCTCTTATTCCAGTAGCTGGGGGCCAGGAGAGAAGCACTTCTCCATGGCACACTGCAGCTTGAATGGGCACAGCGGAGGAAGGGGTGCATGTCCCCTGGCTGTGGCAAGTTCAGGTTCATGTGCCCCCTGCACTCCCCAGCCAGAGCAAGGAATGCAGCAAATTGCACGCTTTCCCCTCACTCCCTGACCAAGGGGAACAGCCAGCAATGTCTCCCTACAAACCTGGGGGGAGGGTTGAAGGACCCCCTGCTTTCCCTAAAGGGCACTTGGGGAGTGGCAGGCTTAGGGCTGGGACAGCACTGAACAGTATGGAGACACTCCCAACCAGCCATTTTCACCTGCCAGCTGGTTCTCTCTCCTTTCTGTATGGTTTTAAGCATCTCTATATGAATTGGGGGGATTTCTTGAATATATAGTTGGATGGACAGATTTGTTCAGTCAGACTCTCTCAAATATATAGTAGATTTAGATTTATAGCATAAAATGTCTAGGAGTAAAACCCATACTAAGGACTTTCTAAATACTAAGAAAATTATCCTCCTCCTGTTTTCTATTCAGTAAAACTTGCCCTGTGAGATCCTCCAAAGCTTTTTGATCCTGCTGCCCTCTGGAAGCTAGCCAATTCCCATGCCAGTAGTACCTAGGCAGTGACTGTTGTGGGACCATGGGTGAGTTCTGTGCTAAAAAGGGATGTGTGTTTCTAACTGCTGGGAGTGATTGCCAAGTTTGTATTCTTAGATGGACTAGTCCTGCCCTGTTGCAGGACATACTTAAAATCTCTGTCATCCTTATCCTACCTTTCTGACATTACCTGCTTCTTCCATTCCTGGTTCTCAGCCAAGCCAGGAAGCTGATTCCTCCACTACTGGTCATCAGTCAAGCTGGCAGAAGGGATTGGGATTACACTAGCTCACTTGTGATAGTCTCCCTGAACTCAGAAGGGGTAGGTGGTAAGACAATAAAGAAAGCAAACCCTTTTCTGTTTAGGAGGTAGGTGGGGGAATGGTGCAGTGCAGCAGCCACCATAACAGAAGTGGAAATCCAGTTGCTACTTTCACATGCAGTCAAATTCTAAGATTCTAAACATCAGCAAATTCTAAACTGAACTGCATTGAGAATTGCCTTCAGAACCGCAAGTCCTTACCACTTTTGCTAAATGAGAATCTGTATGAGCTGCTAAAGCAATCCTCTTCTCTGGACACACAGGCTAATTAATGCTATTTAAATGAATATGATTTTAGGGCCATTAGTCTTTCACAGTCAGTAGTTCTCATACTGTGGTCCATGTACTACTAGTGGTCTGCAGCTGCCTTGCAGATGGGCTGCAACTCAAGACTCAACCTCCCTCCTCCCTCTGCAGCTAGGAGCTGCCCACTGTCACCCCTTCCTGTGAAGTTGGAGCACCAGCTCCAGCTTCCCACTGGGGGGAGCCCTGAGCCTGGTGGGCCAGATCCAGCTTGTGACTGGAACAAGCGGCTTCACGCACCTCTGGTTCCTCTTCTCCCCAGCTGGGGGAATGGCAGCAAGGAAACTGCTCACCTGTAGGCTTTCCCCACTGCTCCCATTGGCCGGAACTGAAGCCAATGGAAGCAGTGAGAGGTGGTGCCTGGGAGCGGTGGGGGGGCGTGGAGCCAGGTAAGCACTCCCCATTCTCTTCCCGCTGAGACCTCTCACCCCGCAGCGCTCTTATGAACCCCTCACCACCAAGACCTCATACCTCCAGCCCACTCCTGCACCCTCCCTCACTCCCAGACCACCCACCCTCACATGCTCCTGCACCCTCCCTTCTGGCCAGACACTCCACCCCCAGCCTGCTTCTGCACACTGTCTCCTGGCCAAACTTCACACCCTCACCCACTCCTGCACCCAAACTCCAAGCCAGACCCCCTGCATCCTACCTCTCACCCAGACCCCCCACCCTCATCTTCTCCTGCGCTCCCATCCCTGTCGCAATCCCTGGCAGCACCCTCCCACATACTGAACCCCTCATGTTTGGCCCCACCCCAGAGCCTAGCGGGAGCTCACAAAATCCATTAGCCCCAGGACCAGAGAAGAGTCTGGCCTGTGGGAAGCCCTGAGCCTCTGTCCTCCCTGTCCCCCCCATAAGGCTGGAGCGCCAGGGAAGTGAGGTGTCAAAGTAGGTGGCCACATCAGTGAGCGTTGGCAGTGTGTGTTTTTTGTTTTTGTTTTTTTGCCTCTCACTTTTATGTGGTCCCCGAGTGATTTTTCTGTAGATCAGTGGCCTCTGACCCAAAAAATGTTCCCCATCCCTGCTGTAAATAAAGATAATGTTGAAACCTTTTGTTTTGGACATAAATTAATATTTTACTTTATTTACAATGAAGTTTGGTAAGCTAACATGATAAAGTTAAAGCACTTAATCTGTTTAATTATTTTGATTCTGATTAATATTTCCTTCATCGATTATCTATGTTCCCTTATGTCAGGCCTGGGGAAAATATGGCCCCTGCTTGCCCCGCAACCCCACGTGCCATGCAGAAATGCAGCTGTCGGGCTTCCTTTCAGTTTCAAAACTCAAAGGGAGGGGGGACATTTCAGGAGCCACCCCACCCATAGCACAATCCCATTGGCTGGTTTTTGGCCAGAAACTAGCCAGTGGGAGCTGCCTATTGGAATAACAGGCAGCCAAGAAGAATCATGCCCCTACTCCTCAGCCCAGTGTCAGCCGATGGTCAGGACAATGAGTAGTGTGTGTGTGTGTTATACACCCGAGACTTCAACTGCTGGGACTGGGGTCCCTTCGCAGCAGGCAACCTGGAGAAGGTTGACAGGCGCCCCAAGAAGTTTACAGGGAGAGCTTATTACACCTCAGATTTTGACTGCTAGGATACATGATCCCTTCACAGCGGGCAGCCTGGGGAGGCTGAGAGATGCCCCAACGGATCTGTCCCCTGGAAGCGACACGATCCAACACTCAAGCTTTCCCTATATCTGTCCCTTATGACCAGCTGGAGTTCTTTTTAAAATTGTGCTTGATTCTGTTACAGCAACTGAAGGAGTCAGGTCACAGCTTAAACAGTTACTATTTTATTGTTACAGGGTAAACTTAGGTGTTAAATGCTACTACTGTGTTACAGATAACACAACCACTACAAAGGACAGGACAGAAATTACACTAATAAGTCACTTACAGGTACCATGAAACCCTTTTGGTTCTCTGAGCTC